GTATATATATATATATATATATATATATATATATATTATTATATATATATATATATATATATATATATATATATATATATATATATATATATATATATATATATATATATAAACTCATAAGTTATTTATTAACGAATTTGAGTTAGTAAATAAAATATGTAGTTTTTGATTTTTTTCGATTTACTATTTCATTCTGTGAAACAATATTAGCTCCATGCTGCAATTGCGCTAAATACTGCTTCTCGTCTGCAGTATATAATCATATTGCTATAATAAATAGAAGGTATGAAGTGCAAGAAAAGTTGAAATGGTTGGCAATTTGCAGATCGTCAAGCCAACGTGATATCATTCCGGATCGACAGTTTAGTAAAACACGTAACTTTGGCTGAAGTGAACTTTGAAAAAGTAAAAATTCGAAAAATTTTTAAAGCAATATTTGAAGTAATTATAGCTTATTAAGAACTTTTATCGAAAGTAATGGCATGATTTGTGATGTTTTAGTAGACAAATAACGCTAAATTTGTATATTTTGATTATGATTTTTTTAAGTGGTGGCTATTTTATTTAATATCTCATACAATAACTGTAAACCACAGCATACTGAAATGGGAAAAGATATTCAAAATGTGGTACTTCATGTTCTCTGATCACACGATAGTTGATAATATCGTTCCATGGCAATAAGATAGCAAGCGGAATTTGAGCTTAAACCAGGCGTAGTCTTGTCATTCCCACATTTCAAGCTAATGAATTACTAATGAATCAAAAGTTAATTCGAGAAAATTTTTATTCTCGTTCGTAAATGCACCTGAACAAAGAATATATTAATCTTTCTTCAGATATGACACATAGATGCTAAAATAGCATAGAAAACTTCGCGTTTATTTTGTTTAATGCTATCAATAAAGAATTTCATTTCTTTTTTTTTGTAATTTTAAAAAGCTCTTTTATAATTTTATTCCTGACCGCATGATATAACAACCATAAATTATTCATTATCTTACGAATTGTAGACAACGGACATTTTTTAGTAAGTATTGAAGGCAAAAAGTGTTAGATAAGTTTCGAAATATTATTTGATATTCAATTTTATATCTTTTTGATGAAAGTAAATATCAATATTCAGTTTTAAATTTTAAATTTGCTAACGAAAATGAGTGAAAAGTCTTATTTTTCTTCCATATTTTCTTATCAATTAAAGTAAAGAACATAGTGATTAGCGTGAAACTGATAACATCTATTATTAAGTTGCAAGGAGAAATGATCATATACTGTGATAAATTTTCTCCATTGCTTTACAGTTCTTTTAGAAAGATAAATCTAAATAGAGATAAGAAAACTCATTAACTGTCTTGCGTAAATTAAGGGAGATATTTCAAACCCTTATATCTCCTTCTTTTAGAAAGATAAATCTTGCTTTCAAGATACTTATTGTAGCAATTATAGAAGTTGGCAAAAAATTTACCATAAAAATAAAGGACCGTAATGGATCAACGAAAAAAAAATTTCTAAGAATTTAATTGGCTGAAGACTTTGCGAATTAAAAATTTAGCACGATCTTTGGTCTACTTTGGATTTTGACGGATGTATTCTACTTTATTCAACGAGAAATTTACACTCCTATAAATATGCAATGAAAAAACTTTGTAAGTACTATTGCTTTCTTAATAATTATCCGATGTAATTTTTCCTTTCAACAAACATATAATCCTAAAATTTTGAGTTTTTTTTAGAATAAGAATAGATTTTTCATATGGAAATAGCTTGTAATTTTAGCGCAATTGAAAGATCGGAAAGAGAAATATTTACTTTGGTTGATTGGTATTGCTTCCGATCCAGCTTCACCTACAAAAACAACAAGGATTACATCATATGAAAGTAACTTTTCTAATATAATCTTCAGAATGATTTAGAGAAAGAACTATCCAAACATTCGCTGATACAGTGAAAGTCTTAACCAAAACTAGCAGAGTATGATAGACTTAAATGAACAATAATTAAAGCCAACAAATTTCAGGTATTGTCCAAATAACAGAAGTAGAGCGGTGAGATCAAAATAAGGCTTTTAGATTTTTTTTGACCATTGTATTTTACCATTTCTCCTTTTAGAAGCTAAAGCAGACTCATTAAAAATGGATGTACGATACTGGGAAGTGATACCAGACGGGAAAACAGCGAGAAGTCCGCTAGTGTACCATCAAATTGTTATGGAACTCATTTCGCTAATCGATAATTCAAAAATTGATGCTGACTCATTTCCTCCGAATAAGATCACTTTCGAATTCAACAAAGAGTTCAAAGTAATACGGAAGGTATCAAAAAGTTGTGAATATATTTCATTCACATAAATCTTAAAATTACTTTTTATATTGTTTACTCAATAACGTGTATTCGAAATCCATGGGTTTATACGTCTTTTTTGTGGCATCCATAAAGTTTACAAACAAAATTAATTTTACTCATTCAATTGTTACTTCAAAGATGGAATTGCATAGAAAAGCATTTGTGTTAGTATTTTAGAGTAAAGCAAAATTAGTATTAAACAATTACTTTCTAGAATTGTTGAATTTTTTTTTCTTTTATTACCATAAAAAATTGTTGAAAGAAATGATCTAAAAATGTCGTACATTTGAAATTCTTTAGCAATTTGAACCTTTAAGCTATTTTATGCCAAAAGAAAATTCAAAATAGCAACATTTCCTTTGGCAAAAAATATATTTTTGCAGCTATATTTCTTGTAATATTTATAAATCAATTTCCTTTTAAAAAACAAAACAAAAACTGACGGGTGCCAATTTATTTTTTTGCATTCTGTCATATTTGACTGATTTTTGACAAGTAATTTGTACGTATATTTAATTGCCATCATCTATTTCATCATCATTTTTGATTGAAATTATTTTGAAGAGGCAGCAAGCCAATTTCATTTTATTAAATTTAAAAACTCAGAAATAACCGGAAGAATTTATGAGAAGAAAACAATAAGGAAAAGTCTGGTTGGAAACATATTTCTTTTGAAATCTGCTAATTTCACTCTGTTATAAACAAATGGAATCAATTTAATCATTGCAAAAAAAGTTTTGCGTACTATCCAAGAATTCCATTTCTCATTATCAAGGAAAAAACATTTTCCTGATGGAATCATACATTACCAAAAGCTTTTTCTTCCTATTAATTTGTTGCTTCTTACCGTCCACTTTTTTTTTCCTTATAAAGTTATACTTATACCTTAGTAATTTCAAAAAACAATCCAAAATTTAGACTTTCTAGCGCATATCATAATACGCTTCAACTTTTTTTAATGATAAATATGAGAATTTTTTCTCAAATAATTTAGGAAAGAGTGAAAATTTCATCAACGATAACGGATAATGAAAATGAGAATATGATAGAAAACTTAAAAAGTACCAATTAGCTAGTTAAACTGTACTGAAAGACTGTGAAAGTACAAGAAGTCAGGAACTTTGGTTTTATCACCTTATCAATCCGTCATCCTTACTTTACATTACTTTCATATTTGGTCGTGCAGCTTCCAAAAGTTAATTACTTCTGGTTTTAACAGAATCAATAGTACAAGTCAATTCATAATAATTGAATGGTATTTCCATCCTGAAAAACTACTCATAATTGCCCAAAATTACATTATGATTACTTGGCGAATAACGTCCCAAAATATTCAGACCATTTCTTTTTCATTAATTAGAACTGTCTATATATGGGAATGCATAATGTCTCATTTGTCCTGTTCACTGTGCTTGAAGACGAGAACAATTATCAAGCTAGCCAGAGGTACAATAAGATGTAAAATGGAAGTGTTGATTGAATCATGCAAAAAAAAAAAAAAAAACGGAATTATAAAATTTCTGCATGCCACTTTTGTACCAAGCAATCATCTTTTCATTCCGATTTGTAAATTAATTAAAGAGAAGGTGGCAGGAAGAATAATTCACCTAGAATGCTCAACAAAATAATGAATTTAACTTCAGCTCAGTCATCATTATGACGAAACCCAAGTAAATACTCACTTGTGAAAATTGCTTAATTAAATAAACTTGACACTGATGATAAATACTGACGAAATTGGGGAAGGCTTAATTAAAGTTTCATCTGGTTTGTATATGGTTAACCATATTCCGTTTAATTAAATATATTGCAACTAAGTTTCGTTAATTTTCTCAGGAAAAAACACAGTCAAAAAATTTTTAATTTTTTTCATAATTTATTTGATTTTTGAAGCCTCTGATGAAGATTTGAATAAATATTATACCGATTTAATCAACCATAAATAGAAAATATGAATTGAACTCTGTTGTAATTGATTACCTTTCCTCCATCATCTGGAATGTGAGTTCGAAAGATGAAGGAATTCTTGTCCCAAATAACATAAACTAATCGATAAAAATGAATCACTTCCGAAAAAAAGTTCAAAACAAGTGCATTTGGGAAATATTCCGCCATTTTGCTAGAAGATATAATGATAAATGTTTTGTGCATTATTTTTGAAAAAAATAACAAATTGTTCTTTTACATTTCAACATTCCCAACAAATGTCGTTGTTTGGTTTTTTTCCAATTTATTTCAATCCATCCAATATTTCTTTTCTTCATTTTGTTTTACCTTATTTTGTGATTCAATGATTATTCTATTGGAAAATAAAAAATGTCCAAGTTTTTCAGTCGAAGAATCTTCGAATCGATGACCGCCAAATTTGAATAGTAATGAAAAAGGTTAAGAGTTGAAACTGAAAGTAATACTTGAATGCGATGAACTTTGTTCTTCATTGAAAGTGATACTAGTGATGAAATCAAATTAATTATAACTCACTATTACTGGATATTGTTTTCATTTTGGAATAGTTACTTCCTTAAAAGAAACATACCCATTAAGTGGGAAAAAGATACTTATTAGTTATAAAAATATATATTATCTTCATAGTACCAAATAAATAATTTAAAATTCTATAGGAGTAAGAGTAAACATATATGTTCATAAAATTGTGCAGGTAAGTAAAAGTACATGTATACAAGCAAAAACCTGAAATTCATTTATCCAATTAGAAAAATCGATAAATAAATTCGAATTGTATGTTGCCTAACATATTGATGAAATTATAATTCGTAGTTGTAAATAATTCATTGCTATATCATAACAGAAAATCACTCCCACTATGCATTTTGTACAACCATTATCTTTCTCGATAGTTTCATGAATTATTGGTTATCAAACGGAATTACTGTATTCCTCGGGATTACCATAAAGTCTAATCAGTGCATAACGAAGTTCCTATATTTCATGATATAACAATCCTTAAATTAATTTATCATTGATTGCTTCTATTTTGGTGTGTTTTGATCACTATCATTCGCTCCGTTGAATCCATGTGTTTTTGATTTAAAAAATTCGTTGCTATTTGATTTTGCTTCGAGAATTCTCGAATGGATCAATCCATCCTGAATCGATGTACACAAATAAAATTCTATTGCTGAATCGACAAGTTGACAAAAATTAGCTTGTACGGAGCACAAGAAAAGAGATAGAAGAAATGAATTTTTGAGCATATGGTTATGGACCATAATAAATAAGGGCACACCTGTTATGTTACACTGATTCTTCAATTTACTTTTTGTTTTCCCTTTCTGCAAAGGAGCAAAAAAAAAAGAAAAAAATGGCAACTGAAGAGAATCACATATTTTCATGTTTTATAATATTTTATCTCTCACGAAGCTTCAAAACATTATCCTATCATTTATTCGACGGATTTCATTGCTTTCCTTAACTTCTAATGACAGTAAGTTGGAATTTTTTATCACAGATATGAAATTTTATAAAGATTTTGTGCATAATTCTCGAAAAAAGATTGAATAGATGATTAATGTAATAAGTTATTTGAATCTGTCGTGGATCTTTTAACTGAAAGGGAGTTATTTGAAAATTTTAAAAATCATGCTAAGGATAATTCAAGGAGATTGGAGAGGAGATAACTTTGTTGCCGTATGATTATGATATTGCTGACGACGGTGGTGGCGAAAAAGCTAAAGAATCTGAAACAAAAGCGGATGACGCTATTGGTACCGTTGAAAAATCTACAGAGAATACGGACCAAGTAAAAAGTGATGCAGAGGGAGATTTGTTACCGGATGATCAAACCCAGGATAGCAATAATTTTCCGGCTCTTCCAGCTGATGAATCAGGAGGAGTTAGAGGAGACTTTGATAACGGCTATGGAGAGCAAGCAGAACTGTATGAACATGATGTACCACCACCACCACCAGCAGTTCAGCAATCAGAGCCTATAGAGCCGGAAGAGCCACGACAACCCGAAAAATCTAAGACACCTCCCGTACTTCCACATCCGCAATCGAATTTTCTAAAAGCAAATATAAATCAGCCATATCCAGTTCATCCCTATCAACCGCAACCGCATTCAGAATTACCAGAACCTTATCAATCACAGCCCCCAGTAGGATCTGAAGCATGTCAGATCATTGCTACCGGTATGAACACAGAAATGCAGCAATTTGCATCACTGCTCGCTAGTCAAGCTCTTGCACAGTAAGTTTCAATTGACAACAAACTTGGATCAATCATCTTACTAAAATCACATTTGTCCAACAACGTATTTTCACCTGAAAGTATTTGTACTAAATAATCTCATCATTCGCCTCTCTTAAAACTCTTCCGTTGAATTAGAAAACATACGACATAAATGACATCATTTGTTGCGCTGCGTTGCAGAAGACGCAGTTGTGGATGTCCAATATATCATGAATTGTAGTGAATTTGTCCAACTTAATGAAAAAATTTCATTTAACATCTAGATAGGTTCGTCTATTAATCAGATGATGATCCACTCAGGGTATCACCACCCTCAACTTTCCAGATTCCCAAATCACGTGATGGCTATTGCGCGTCATATCATGATGAATTTCGAGCAGCGATATGGACCACCGTGGTGCTGCGTTGTCAGTAATGGACAATTGGGATTCTACCTGCGTTACGATAGAGAGTGTCATATTTACTTCGCATTATCCAAACATACCATTTTTCTCTATAAAAGCTCTAATTCGTAAACAAAATTTGCATAATTTGTATAAAAATATCAGAAAATGAGGTAACCAATGTTGCAAACTGATAAGTGATAAAGAATGCCCGACGAGGATGATAAAGAATGTCCTCAAAAAATCTCTAAATTTCCTAAGTTGGAAAATTCATTTTCAGAATGCCATTTGCAGTTTTGCAATCTATCTAAAAAAAGAACTTATCAGGTCCAGTTTAAACTTTCATGTTATCGATACTACACAATGTTTTCTTATCCTAGTCTATTGCACTTCCTTGCAATTCTTTTATTTCCCTTTTAAAACATCACTTTTAATTTCCGAAATATTTGACTGAAACTTTAGTGTGAAATAAAGTTTTAGATGGTCCCCATAGATTCTCTCTATTTTCTTAATTTTGAACACGTCGAAAAATTAAAAATTTCCTTAAAACTATTCAAAAACAAAAAATTGTTCTGTGATTTCGCTTCATTGAAAGAACTAAACACCTTATCGTTGTCTCTGACTAGTCCATGTGAAATTTATCCTCTATTTATAATTCAAATCTAATTCTTGCTAGTTGTCATTATCACTACGAACTAACATTACGACATTTGCAACTCTCATTATCAGCATTTTAATCATTGCTGTCAATAATTGCTAATGTCATTTAGCTATATTTTACAATTGCTACTACTGCTGCTGCTGAATAATCAACGTGTTCGCAATTACTGTCGTTTTGCGCTTCAGAAATTGGACATAAACGCTTTGTGCTCTCTCTCATCTTCTGTTTTCATTCTCGTAAATTCATTTCAGGATAAAAGAATTTTGGAGTTTTTTCAAAATTGTTTACAAATTCTGACAGCTGTTGAGTAGGCTTGGAGATGTATGAAGTTTTCAACAAATTAAAACTATTTCCGAACAAATTTTCCTTCTGATATGACTCATTCTTTTCCTGTTGGAACAATCCAAGTGAATTTGGCAGGTGTTTTTGAGTAAGCAAAAACTTATAGGTATTGAAATATTTTGAAGTGTACAAAATTAGCATTGAATGATTCATTCTCTTAAAGCGCTCTTAGATTTCACATTTTCCCACGGTTCTCAAAACATCCTCAATTTTCGAAATCCTCTCAGTTTTATTTCGAAATTTTCAAAAATTCCGTTTCAACTCAATTTTTGATTTTGTACTACAAATTAGTTCTAATATGTTCCAATATTCAGTTTTAGACTGCTACATTTTTTAACAGTTTGATTTTAAACAAGCACATTTTCTTTACGAATTCGAAATCTTGTAAAAATTTTATTTTCAATTTCGCCGCCGCTGTCTTGTACGATCATCTTGAAAATTTTTTAATTCCCAAAGAAAGTGATTTTTTTCAGAACTTGTTTAAGGCCCTGTCCAAAATATAATGTCGGACCCTCAATCAATCGATGATCCAAATCCAAATATTGGTGCCGAAATGGGAAATGCTCAAGTTATTGCATCAGGTATGGACGCCGAAAAACAACAATTCGCAGTCCAATGCGCCAATGAAGCCATTGCTCAGTAAGTTCCTACTATTTCATATATAAATTTGAAGTAAGGAGGATAAAATGGCTGAATAAACAGATAAATGATGAAAGTTTGTTTCGCTTCAATAATTTTGAAGTTGCAAAGTTTGAAAGTTTTATGATCTCAACAATGCTTATTTATACTATGGAACCTATCGAAAATAGTTGCATTATCTGTCTATTTGTAATAAAATATACTTACATATAATGCCCACAAAGTAAACATATTTCAAAAATTTACAAACTGTATGAAAGTGTTAGTTGTTGCAATTAGATTTTCTTTGCTTACCTATCAAATCTTAGATCGATTACTGTTTATAATAATTTGAACTTGTAATCTCATTTGTCTACATTAGCTTTTTGGCAAATTCGTTATTCGTGAGTTTTATCAATTTTTGGAATAATAAAGACAATTGTATTACGAAATGTAATTATGAAATCAATAATTCTTTTAGACATTCAAATCAAAATATGGCAGTGGCTCAGTACATAATGTCTAATTTCGAGGAGAGGTATGGCTCACCATGGCACTGTGTCGTAAGTGACGGAAGTTTGGGATTTTACGTACGATACGATCCTTCAAATCATATCTATTTCTCCATAGGAGCAACTACTATATTTTTGTTCCAAAATCAATGCCAATAATTAAAAGTAACTTTGCTTTCAAGACTTCAATTTAATTTTCGTTTCAAATTGATACAACAAAGAAACAGGAAGTGATGTTTTAATAAAAACTGAGTGTCAACATCAGTTTCACAATTGTTTACAGAGTTGTAATACTAACATTTTTGGCTATATATTTTTGCAAAGGCAAAACATAAATACGCGAATGTGAAGTGTCGGATTCCTTCCTATGCTCAATTTGTATCTCAGCTATCCAACGTTTTGTCGCAGTATTTACCCTTGACACTATATCGCCCTACAAAATAGATCCTTCAATTTAATTACTTTTTTACAATAGCGAATAAGCAAATATAGTTACTTAATCATTTATTTATTTTTACAATACCGGAAGGATTTTTTCCTTTTTTTTTTCAAATCTGAAAGGTTTGAAAAATTTTTAATTTTAGAATCTACAAAAATTAAAATTTTTCTATCGTTGCAACGATGAAAAACAGCTTACATCTACAAGAAAACTAATTTCAAGAGTTTGTAAAATTAAATTAATAACTCACTTTAATGCTATCAGTATTTGCCCAACCGTTATCAGATTTAACATTTCCTTCATCACCATCCAACAAAATTTTCAAACAGCTTGTATTATTTATGCCTATAGGTAGAATGGTAAATCAAAGTATATTTTCGAAATTCTTAAGGATGCTCTTTTGAATTCTCAATCACTGAATTTCTCATTTTCATCTGCAATTGAACAATTTTTGAAAGAAGCAAAAAGAAATAAAATTTCGAAAAAATTCAATGTATTCTACCAGCTGGAATACTTGAGTTATCGACATTACCGATATTTGTTATAGGAAAAGAATTATAATTTCTGATTTGACGATACATTGGTTTCCAGACTGGTGAAACGCACTTCTTCACTTCTGAAGAAATAAAAGTATATATTTCCTCCTCCATTCATGGGAGAAAATAAAACTCAAGAAATCCGATAGCTTTCAAGAAGCATAATCTTTGAAGAACACTTCTTCTGAAAGTCAAAGAACAATCTAGTAATATAGGAAATATCACTGGAAATCCAGAATTCGGCCATTTGAGGGAGATCGATAATGCATCAGGATATATTTGATTGGAGCAAATTAGAGCAAACATAGATGTGTCCTGCTATATTGATTTTTGAATTAAATTCAAAAATGCTTACCTTGTCTCAGTGAATTTTTTTCTAAAATTTCTGTGAGGACAGGAGTGCAATTGGATGATGTACCCTGTGTTTGATTAGCATCAGACGACTTCAAGCATTTATTAATCAGTTGTCGTTTGACTGTTTGCATTTTTATCCTGAATGTGTTTTGTTTCACAATTAATCGGGACCTTTATAAGTCCAAAGATGCGAAAAGTTTTATAAATGATGGTTCAGAAATGAATGGAAATGAAATATATAACCAGTAACACTTACAAGAAAACTTCCTTGTACTCTTTATTGAAAGTGTAGTAAATGAGACAGTTTACGGACGAATTTAAAATCACTAGGAAATTGCTTGTATCGGTGAGGAAATTGAGCAACAAAGTGCTTGGCTCAAAAAATGTTTCAATCACATTCACTATAAGTGCCTGGAAGTAAAAGAAGTTGTCATAGCGCTGTTGTCATCATTAGTTTCTTCAGGAAAGCCTACACAATAACGATCATACCACACATTTACGATAAGCATAACAACTTTCATTAATCCATTTACTTTTCTCATTGATTATAAGTAGATGTGAAACAACTGATAAACTGATATGTTAAAATGAAAAGGCTGGTAATATTCATTGTCATTATTCATACACTAATATTCAGAATTTCCGGGATATTTCTATTGCAACAATTACATCTTTCCTGAGGATTTCCAGTTCAAAGAATTAATGATAGTATGCAGAAGTAGACTATTTAGTGATTTAACCAAATTTAAGTTTTTATAAATTAGGTAGCTAAGCGATGTTATGAATCAAAATGGTAGCCTTTTTATGCATCATTCTTTCAAGATAATAATAGATTCAGAACAAACAGCTAAATTGTAAAATTTCAAACAAACGCTCGGAGCAATAAAAATCGATGAAATCATACCAAAATATTGCAGCATAAGAATAAAATGACCACCATGATCATTGTTATACTATCATCAGATCCATCCACTCCATTTCGATCGGTGGGTTGAAGCATTGTATCAGTTATACGACCCAATGAAGCTGAAGTTAAGGTGTAAACAAATGGGGGTATTTGGAATAGTTACAAAAATCCAAATCAAAGCATATAAATTCACCCGTCATAGCAATTCGAGAAGCATTGTCTTTGACAAAACCCATCGAATTTGATCGCGATATACTGCAAATTTTAATTCTTAAAATTTTTGTTCATGAAAGTGAATGGACAAATGATGTCATACTAAAGAGGAAGAGAATAGCTAAGGGAATTAAAATAGTTAAACATAAGGTTAAAATACGGTAACAGTTCAAGAAGAAAAAAGATTAACATTTAAGTGGAAGTATGTAAGAGGGAAATGTGTATCCTCAGAAATGCAGAAGATATCATCAACATTATATGCCAGAAAGCAACTTTAGATAAAAGAAGTGAAAAGATTTACGGTAATTAGTAAAGTAAATATCAGCAAAATGCACTATCTAAAAGACTGATCAAATTTTCTTGTTATGATTTAATTTACGAAAATGGATGAATTTTGATAATATAAACAAAAAATAACAGTTCAAAAGTCACTTAGCAAATCTTTTCTCAATTAAATATAATTTCGACCCATATAGAAAATTACAGGTATTAGCAAAATTAAAAGATTTCAAAAATCGTTTACTATTTAAGGATAGATCATACAACCATCTCCTCTACTTAACAAAGTTATCCTAGAACTACTGAGAAAACTTACGAAGATTGTTGTACAACAATGATCGCATTTAAAATGGATAGAAATAGAAAAGGAAGTAACGTCATTAGCACCATATACATATATACGTTATATATCGTATTGATTGCAAAAAATAAAGGAGTGGGACAAATTTCGACTATTATTTCCTGAAATATAGTAATTATCTGTTCATCAAACTGTTGAATTTAAAGGAGAAGAGATTGTATTTCATAAAAATGTAAGTGAGACCATCGAATAAAATAGATTATTTTAAAATTTTTAAGGAAAATAGTTTTTAAATCAAAAATTCACTATTTTCAAATTTCACTACAGAAACTTCAAAATTTGGTAGAATAACATCCAAGTGTCCTATCGTTTAGTTTGATGGTAGAGGTTGCATTCCTATCAGAGTCTATGCAGAGCCTAAAAAGGTTTAGTTTGCCTTATCCAGTTGGAGATTATTGGTGATATTGATCAGCCGTGGCTACTTTTTCTTTTTTTACTAACGAGTTCCCTAACAACTCCCACATTTTCATATTGAGTGAAGTACTGATAATTGGATTTAGTTTGAGAGATAAAAATGGTTAGAAAATGACCTTTGAACTACTATGTAAACATTTCCTCAAGTTGAATTGTGGAAAACGCAATGAGTTATAGATGATGGAGCATACAGTTATACACGTGTTTATTTCACACGCACGTCGAATTGTACAATAGCTTGTACTTACTGTTTTCCAACATACCTCAAAATATGACTGTAATGTATAATGTGAATTTGAGAGATATAATTAAGAGGAACATTTTGTAATAGTATTTGTTAGTCGGGAGGACTCTAAAGTTATTATAAGAATTATGGATGTGCTTTTCAAGTCACATGTTGTTATACGGATTATGAATGTACTTTTCACGTCTCACGTTATTATACGGGTTATGGACGTGCTTTTCACGTCTTACGTTATTATAAGAATATAGATGTATTTTCCACGTCTCACGTTATTATAAGGGTTATCTCATGTCAATCTTTCCTCTCCTTGTTATTGTTCCTCAAAATAGCTAACGTTGATATAACAATCGACAGCAGCTGCAACAGTGAAATATACGCTGCATGTTTGTGCCATATATCCGAAAGGCAATGCATAAACAGTTGTGTAAGGTGCACGTGATAATTCCGGAATATAAGTCCTGAAGACGGGATTATCGGACCAAAATTTGTTGCTATTTGCAAATTAAATTCTAGAGCAGAATCGCTAATAATCCGAAATGTCATTTTGATGTCACAAAAATTCGAGTCAAAGTTCGGAAGAATGTTTTGTTGGAAATTTGTCTTCCTATATGTTTCCATTGCTTGCATATCAGTAAGTCTGGAAAAGGAAAACTCACCTAGCGGAATCGATCCAGAAAATGAAAAGACCCGTTATAACAACAAAGAAATCGCTGGAAGCAAGAAATAACAAGTATGTGTTGGATGAACTACGCATCCTGTAAATAATAACTGATCAGATATGAGGTCAAAGCTGATCTGATTTATTTTCATTATCAAATTCATGAATAACCTTTCCCGAGAATAAACAAATATATTGACAATATTTGATGCAACGCCGAAAGCCGAAATTGATGGTAATAAAATAATGACTGCTATGTAGTTAAACCTGGAACTTAATAAATAGTTAAAGGCCTAAAAACAGAAAAAAGAGATTAAGAGTAGTGAAGTAATAGTCAATAGGGCTAAAAATCTTTAACTCTGCTTATTTTTCACTATTTTTCTTCGATATCAACAAATTCGTCATTGATATTGGCTTAATCCATGGAAACAATAAAAATGGAATTTAAAATTGGAATGTAGCCAACCGGAACTGAAAGATATTTTAAAAAAAAAGCTAATTTCAACAAATTTGTTGAATTGAAGGAAAAAAGAGATACATACCATTCATATGCCGGTGAATAATCACTGTGTTGCAAATCGGAACAGATACATTGGGTGTCATTTGGATCCGGTCCCGAAATCATTTTAAGGCTGGAATTTATCTCAGAAATTTTGAAACTAGCGGTGCCAATGTTTATCATAGATAAAGACATTCCGACTGCTGATCTGACTGTGGGAGAGTGAATTTTGAATGAATTGAAGAAGTGAGTATAGGACGAGGAGGGGAAGATGAGGAGTTAGTATTACTTACTTTAAGTAAGATCTGAAAGGGGTAAACAAGCAGTGATGAGGAATAAAAGAGTAAATGGATGATAGGATGTTGTCATCTTTGACGAGAGAAAATAGCGAAACGATGAGAGAAAATGAAATTATAATGGTAGGTTAATTAAGGAAGCCTGATAAGTGGAAAGCAGATGACAGAGTTAAATATTTTCTTGTTTTTTTTTAATTTCCTGTTGGGATCCCCAATATAAGTCTATTGAACTGCGTCTGAAGAACTGATTTCATTTCAACGTTCATTAAACTGTAACATTTGTGAACAAGCACCAATCCAATGTATGACAATCAATTTCGATGAAAAATGCGCCTTAATTAAGCTAATAAAACTAAGCTGCTCAACTTCTTATCATAAATGGTAATTTCATTTCCGTTTTTTCTTTGGGACAGATTTCTTATATTACGAATTTCCGACAAAAGTAATTCCAATGAGATTGGTCGATAATTGTAATGAATTGCAAATATGATAAAAATAAAGAAAATCGAGATTTTACGCGAAAGAGACAATTGATAAGTAAAAACTAAATTAAAAGAAAGGGGAAACTGATGAAAGGTAAACTAAAAATGATTCACTATATGTATGACATCAACAATCTCGGGGAAAAAAATCTGCTAATGACAGGACGCTCCTCTTTCCTTCCGTCATCTTGAATAACATTATTTTAGAAATCCAAAATTCCATAAATTTATTTTGAGTTAATCGGAAATTCTTCTGTTTTGATTCGTTCTCAAATCCCAAAACAGTCTAACTTAAGTCATCCGGTTGAAAGTGTGTCCACAAAAAAAAAACTTTACAAGAAAAATTCTCTATTATGCCTGTGGTAGTCAAATACGCCATAGGCTTAAACAATTCGTAGATATCAATGTAAAAATAACATTTGTAATTGAAATATATAATTTAATCGGCTGCTAAGATTATCATTAATTATTTAAATGAGTTCGAAAAATGACCAATTCAGAGCGAAAAAAGAAAGTACTAGAAAACAAAATAAGATAAACAGTACCATTTGATCAACTGGGAAAAGGACTGAGTGACAGTTTGAAAGACAGAAGCACTTAGCAAATCTCGAATTTTCAGAACATAAGCTGACTTTATGATGTTTGCCTTGCTTGTACATTAATTTTTAAATAGTAAAAAACAAGTGCAGCAGTTGAAAACTATGCCATACTAAATTCATCGTCATTTCATCACGTAGCATAAAAGTGAAGAAAAATGCGATGAAATGAGAGATTTTTTTTTCCCATTACGCATTTCAGTCATCTGCGCTTCATTATGCGGCTCTGTCATCTGTTTTCCAGTTTGTTTTCATTTTTATTTTACAAGCCATCTTCCTTATTTTTTCTGCCTGTAAAAATGGTTCCAAAATATTTTGCAGCACGGGAAGTTCTTCTGTTCTGGAAAGGATTGCAGGCTTCCGTGTTAACGGGATCCATTCATTCCCATATGCAAAGATTAAGCGTAAAAGTACGCTGTTTATTCAATGTGCCCCATTTGTGATTAATGATAAAAATTTGAGGGATCTAATTGTTGTCACCAAGCTGGCAAGCAAAATTGTGATTATACTGCAGGATTATACTCTAAATTACAAGTGTAATTTAGACAATGTTGATTCACTAATAAGTTTTGAAATATTCAGTGTCTAATTCAAAAGTGATCCTTCGTGTAACTGATATGCTACTATCAGCTAGTTCTTGTTAACATTATTGCATAGAAACAATTTTAGAAAACGACATAAATTTTTCAAAATGCTGAAAACTATAAATTTTCTGCGTTGACAACTTTTAAAAAAAGTCGAATGAAAATCATAATGGAAACAAATTGTTTGACCTTCGTGCGTTGATCTTCTGAAATTCTTGACTTGTCACATTGGTCTTCTCGAACTTCACTTCAACGGCCATGCTTTTTACTATTTTAATTCCTTTGCGACGTTTCTTTTTTCAGAATTTTTGATAAATAATAAAAATGAAAAGTGATAGAATGGAAAACAGAAATTGGTTTCTAAAATTATCAATACAGTGCACAATTAGATAATTAAAATCTTTTTGAGAAACGATAAAGCTTACCAGTGGTGAAGTACTGTGGGTGAGTTAATTCAACAGATGACATCATGAACTTTTTTAAGAAAGCTTGATCTGCTTTCTGACCATAGAAAGCGAATCAAGTTGAACAAATGGATAGTTCTGGTTAACCTATTTGAAAAAGATCAAGGAATAAAAACATTTTGGAAAAAAAATGAATATGTATTTTGATTGTTTAATGCATTTTCCTGCATCTGCATAGTGTCAACCATATTCTTCCGCTTGATTTGATAGGTTAGAACAACTGATATGAGTATATTAAAGAATATTATGCTAGATAATTTACAAAATTAAAAAGAAAAAGATAAGAAGATTGTTCGATGAAAGAGACAAATGGCATTTCAGGCTCTTGCAATTTCTTAATTATTGTGTTGACAGGCATAAAATTGTTCTTTCCAGGAAATTTCGGGTGTTTTTTTCTTTTCGTTGCAAGCTACAAATGAATCCAGCAAGACAACCTGAATAATTAGTTTGTCATTTCTGAGGAAGGAAGGTTTTCTCGCATTCATTCCCGGAAGCATTCCTTCATTCCCATTGTATTTGCCAATAGCAGTCAAGGAAGTGGAGTTTTCTTTTCTTGTTAATAGAAATTGATTTATTTTTAATTCAATCTTAACTGAATCCCAAGAGGTTCTGCAATTTGTAAGCTTTGAAATTTCTGGAAAGCTTGCCTTGTCGTAAACCGATTTGGGATGAGTAATACCCTACGGCTTTTATAGATTTAAATCCTTCTTCTAATAAATTCAGGAAAAGCAGCATATTGCTTTTGACAGAAAAGAGAAAAACGATGAGGAAACGGAATTTAGGATATTTTTAGAAAAGATACTGTGGAGACTATTATCTATTTAATAATTGTATGTAACAAACAAGATAAATGGAGTTCGATTGATATCAGCCATAGAAGCATTTTCGAAAATAATTAATCATTTTAGATTGATTAAGAAGACTATTTATTGTAACTGATTTTCTTAAAATTAACCGATTCAACTGCTTCCCGTGGTGGGAATTAGCAATCGCGACAAGCTGTTGAATACGGAACTCTATTTAATTTAGCCATCTGATGCCTAAAATTACTGCTAATCTTTAAACTTCAGATTACAAAAGTATTACAATTGCTGGACCTGATTTACTTGTTTGATCTCTACATTGACTAAATGCTGATAATTTATCAACTATGAATTCAACCAATAACTTTCAATAAATCTTCTGAATGATTTCTACGTGAAATCCAGGTTCAGTCGAATATAAGATTTTGTGAATTTTCGGGATGAGTTAAAGACATGTTGCGTTCGTGGCATCTCAATGATATCGAGGGCAATGAATGACAAGCCAATCGAGGAAACATAGTGACAAAGTCACTAATTTTTCAGAAATTACTGCTCCATGAGGATTTGCAGAGAATCGATCTAAAAGAAATAAGAAGTTAAAAGGGAGAAATCCGCCTGCTGATAGTTTTTGATACATCTGTTCAAACAAGAATCAAGCATCAAGTAAGATGATATACCAAAAGGGCTGGATAAAACTCACTTCCATTACCTCATTTCAAGCTTTAGAAACTGTAAATTGCGTGAGATACTCACAAAAGTTTTTTAAAAGACTAGAATTCAGGATTCAAACGAATTTAGCTCGTAAAGTTTTCCGGAAAGATTTGTAGAATTTTCCGACAATTCATAAAATACAGCTATAATAACAACAGTTGTAATTTATTATTGTCTCAAAAAATTTAAAACGTTTACAATCTGACAAAAGAATGTTATCAAAGGTATTACTCTAAACAAAACCTTATTGGTTTAATAGAATTTCATGAATTCACCTGATATAAAATTCAAAAAGTAGGCAAAATTCTGAGGATTATTAAAGCCAATCATAATTATAAGGCAGAATGTAAGACTGGAAAGTTTAATTTCAAGAAATTCTCCCTTCAATCATAAATTGGAATTTTTATCGACTATATTTCTCTTTTTCAATACCGACAAACTTGCGCTTGTCTATTTTCTGCTTTCACCGAACAATAAATTCCCTTTTAATCTGAGGTCGAAATGGCCTTCCTGAATCCCGATCAGTTGTTTATTCCTGATCACTGTCTTGCAATCATGTACAGTAAATGTGTCAAGTCTGTGTTATTCCTTGTTTATTAAGGATTTCACTAACTGGGCCATGATTTTTTTTTGATAAACATATTGTTCACCAACGGTTTCTCATGATTAAAGTTTACCCTTTCTTATCCCTTAAAATCTGCTTTGGAGGAAATACATCTTAATACTAATAATTAATTGCAAAGAGTCCTTCAGAGCTGTCTTTGACGAGGAGAACTATCTTTATCAGATTTCTTCAGCACAATAGTTCTCCCATCCATTGTGTTAAGGAAATTTGATAAAATTAAAAAAGTCTTTAAAAGACACTGGAAAAAAGATATTTCAACAATTATATATTTTTCAACAAAAAAAAGAAAAATATTCCAACAAATTTATTTGGAGAATATGACATTTTTTTAGAGAAAAAGAAGAAAATTTTCAGTAAAATTTCATTAAATTTTAGTGATAATTTAACTACTAGAAGAAACGTTCCAATCGTAAAATTTTAGAGATAATGAACAATTTAAAGACATTTCTTTTGTTGCTGCTGCTGAAGTCTTTGTACCAATCATTTATGTTATTAGAAAGAATGAGAAATTTAATTGAAACTGTATCAGGTGTAATCAGGAAGAGATACTAATGTCTTATAAATTATTGGCAATAACATTTGGCAGATTTGTAAAAAATAATTGAAGAATTCGAATAAATCAAGGGAAATGGTT